AGTACATGGTATGCTGCCACACTCCCACTAAAAACAAGCGAAACTCCTGCACCACTACTGTCTGGAAAACAAAAGAATTCATTTGTGATATTGAAACTGACACAGAGTTGCCAGCGTCACATGCTGAATACATTTCCAACTGGGATGGGACTTCACAGCATAGATGATCACTATCAACAATAAAAATCACTATAGTGTACAGTCATTGCGAGATCAGAGTGCAGAGAGACTCAGTTGACTGTGGATCTAACTTTTCTGGAGGGGGAATCATTAAAACAGTCCCATCGCTTGATACCCCCCATGGCAGCGTTGCCCTTATACCCAATTGTTTCTCAATTAAATTGAAAGAGTTTGCAGCATGCAAGTGCAACAGTAAATAATACAGCTGCATGAAAGCTCAAAGACTGTCAATCAATTATCCCATTAGTGGAAAACTTTACAGAAGAGTGCTGTTTGTCTTGTGTGATTAATAACTGAAGCATGTTCCAGAGGGCCACACTCTGCTGCGGACTCATCGAGTCCATTTGAGGCCGATAACAAGGCAGATGGGGAGGAGGGGGGGTCCTGCCGTAACCTCACTGTTATCCAAACCAGCATCTCTTATTCCTTTGTGCAAAAACATTAACTTAACAACAGAACCGAGGTCATCCACTATTCTCTTTATGGAGCAATCACAGGAGGCAAAATGGGCTTTATTGAAATAATGAGCATGCACATACAATATCTGACACAGACTCACAAGATTTCTCTGTGCTTTGAAGAGAACAAACACATCGGTGAAACTTTAAGCATTCTCTTTATTTCTCTTCCTCAGATATCTTGTGAAAAGAAAACAAATATCATCGCAGACTCCAAAGCACTTCTCGTCTCCCGTGTACAGAACTAATCAAGCCTGTGTTACTCGCCCAAGGTCTTCCCATTTTTTATTAGCAACATTCAGCCCCCAGAGTGAGGCAACATGAAAGAGAAAGAAGAGCGCTCAAAAGATGGCTTCGTCTGTGCAATTTATGTCAATCTCACTTGCTTTAGCGTGTTTACAGAGAGATCAATTCCCAAACTCCGAGGGCCAACATTGTCAGAAATGAATAATTTACTAATGATAACCTTAAACTTTCTGTTTTTGCCATAATTGCCTCTGTAATACTCTTCCTGATTTTTTCTGCGCCAAACAGACATGACGAGAATCAAAGCAGCGCTGCTTGTTTTTTTCACAGCGGTGACAAAAAAAATAATCACTTTGACCTTCTGCTGTTAACAGACTTGGAAAAGTAGCTTTCAAAGCGCTAACTGTGAAGTTATGATGTCTTCTAATTTCTTCGAATGTCTACACATGTTCCAAATAACTTATCTGGATTTTTTAAAGCATTTTTGATAAATACAAAGCTCGCACTGATCAGTTTTCCTCGCCCTCTACTTAGCCCTTTAAACTAGTCTGAGGCCAACAGCTCAGTGCTCTGTTATATCCATTCCACAACTGAGAACTGTTTAAGATCTTGCATAAACATTAGGGCGTGAATATCTGTGCTCCACGCATGGCTCATCAATGAATTATGGCCCACTGCTTTCTAAAAGATACCGCTGTGTGAGATCTGCTTAGCAGATGAAAAATTACATCTACATCAAAGGGCTACTCTTAAAAGTCCAAGTTTAGAAAAATTAATATTTGATAATGCTCAAAGTCTGCATAAGCACACAGGCAACGAGCGCCTGATAATCTCTTAAGAATACTAAAAGCCCTAATATGCCATATTTACTGATATTACGGATTAAAACAGCATATAATATGCGTTTAAAAATCGTTTTGCATATCAAACTACAATTTGTGAGCAGTGATTTAATGGTAGTTAATAAGACTCATTTCAAAAGGCAGATGGACACACTAAGTTTCTCTCTGCCACCTTGTGGTCATTTTCTCCAACTGCAGGGTTGAAGTGGAAATGAAAAGGGTGTGCAAAACATTTTTTTATTACTATCTTACAATATACCTGACATTTTAGAACCTGATACGGACACATGTGAGGTGCGCATAATATACAGCTGTTATTAAAGCCACAAATATCATGAATTCAGCTTTGAGCCACTTGGACTCTTCCACATTATGATGATAAAACTTGATTTATTGCTATCATTTAAAAATGATCAAATAATATAATGTATATTCATACACAGACAAAGCTAACATGCAACACAGACTGATTCAGTACAAAGCGATGCACAGGCTGCATTACTCAAAAGCTGAACTGCACCTTCAGAGTGTGTCTGAGTGTGATAAGTGGTGCTCAGCCGACGGCTTAACAGCACTCCTTCTTTCTTTCTGCCCTACATTATGAGACTTCTGGTCTGTAATTTTCAAATGTCATTCAGAGAAACGAGGCTCAGCCATGACCTGGCCATCTTTGGGCGCTCCGAAGATACTTTTAAACTTTCATTTGATGTGCAGCTCTCAGCAGTGAGGTCTAAAAAGTTATTCTTCCTCCTTTTTCCCCAGTATATAAACAGCAAAATGTAAATTTCTTGTATTAATATATTGACATTTCTCCCATTGAAACAAGTAAATAAGACACTGAATAATGGTTACTGTTTATAATGTCAGGCTGCGGTGCTGTAGTTGCTGTTTGCTTTTCATTTTAAAATCTGTTTTATGATGCTCCTGCTCTTTCACCTGCAATATTTGCAGCTTGTGTGCAGAACTGGGAAAAGTTTCTATACTCTGGCTTTATCTGCGTCACCGTGTCCACTTTAAATCACTAATAAATCATAATTTTCTCGAAAATACTGCCTTTAACGATGTGTCGCAGCAATAACAGCGCAGGTGTAAATAACGTATTAATAAATGTCTGGGAAAAAGGTCATCGCTGGTTCTGAGCTGACGCAGACGTGTGACTCACGTTTCAACTCGAGCTTGATTTATAATTGAAAAAAATAGAATTTAAAATGCCGCAGAGTGGTCAGGTGCTGACCTTGAATTCAGACTGAGGTGTGAAGCAGTTGTCATTAGCGAGCCAGTTCACCTGCGCTGCTGGAGAGAGAATATATGAATTTGCTGCATCTGACGTGGTGAACTTGGTAATTCGCATACTGTCTTGTGGCCCGTGATTTAAACTGGTTGTCTGCCTCTCTTTGTTAACCAGCTTCAGCATAATGATGTAGTTTTCTGTGATGTTCCAACACCATGGCTGGAGGCAGGAGTTTAGTCAGCAGCGTGCAGGATCAAGAAAAAAAAAAAAAGAGCCACTGAAAATGGAGAAAAATGGCTCGCAGTACCCCAAGGTAGGAAATAAATTGCAGACGATAACTAGCGAAGCGAGGCACAAACAGCATAATAAATTGTTCGAGATTTTTGCTCTCATTTTGCAGAGCAAAATCAAACTTTGGAGTGCGCAGTTGGCAGGCCATTAAAAGAATTACTTCATGCTCTGAAAACAGAGGGATTGTGTCAATCCCTATATCTCACACAAAAAGACAACACGCTCCTCGGAATTGCTTTGTGTTTTCTGCCATCTAGGAGGGTGCAATGACGAGCTCAGATCACAGCGAGGCAAGCACAAATACAGTAAGTGACTTGGAAATATCTCTGAAAGAAACATATCTCTGTTGAATAAGGCGCTAAACCAAAAGTTAATACACACTGGCATGGAGTAGATAAATATTTATGCACAAATATTTATGTCTTACAGTTTCGCAATATATCAATATTAATGATTAATGATCTGCATTCCACACTTTAATAATTTAGCAAAGATAAATAAGTCATATTTCGCCCACTCTATAAATATGCAACAGATCTGGAGAAATTTCTGTTGTCTGCAGACTATCTCTTGTTGATAATAGCAATCACTGGAGCAATGTACACTGAAAGATTTGTTAGTTGTTTGCTTAATCCAATTAATATTTCATAAGTTTGTGAACATGAGAATTACCACTCCAGCAGTGATGCAGGCACCACACGCAGACTGGGTTTCCCCAAATGCAATGGTCAAAGACATTACTTCACACAATAAAAACAGTAAGTTTTAAAATCCACTATTAAGTCTGAGCTTTTGCTATGAAGCAAAATCATAATATTCAGACTGAGGTGTTTTTTAGACTCTAGAGTTAAGTTAAGTGAAATTTATGCAGTAAGATTGCACCAGTCTTTTGGATATGTTTGCTAAAATCTTCTGCACGCCATCCAGAGATCTTCTTCAGCGTCTGAGGTTCGTTAATCACACGCCCTGTCCCGGATTGTCTAAAAGGAACCATGTGGAGTAAAGCAACATTAACAAAAATGTTAATAAATACCACCACACTTCTCTGAAGCACGTGATGACACGCTTTTCTTCCCCCTGACTCATGAAGTTTGATAAGCTTCGTGGTTTTCCAGTGGAAACATGGAAATAACACTTGAGAAAACATGAGACGGTATTAATAATGCATTCTGCATCATTATGCTACAATTTAAATGAGGGTTAAAGCTCACTGCTTTACTTGTACAAGACCAATTGGACATTAAATATACAACAGAAGCATTTTTCCTCCACCATATTCACTCATTCATTGGATGCATTTTCAAATGCAGTTCAAGGTCACATACACTATGAGACATTTAACCCCTTCTGTCCTGTCCTGCTTGCACTTCAAGTTTTTATTTCAGCTTGGGGAAGCACAGTGTATCAAAGGATACGTGCATCTCGATTAAAAATGTAATGCAAAATCTAATCTAATGCGACTAAAACGTTTTGAGCTTATTACTATTATTATTATTATAAAGTGCGTGTTTCTGTAAGAGCAGGTAAGCTCAAAAATATTCATAATCAGGTCAAGGTCATTTATGCCATTCACTAATTGTTACAATGTCAAATTCGAGGACGTTTGATAATCTAACAGTGCAAATGCGCCGTTTTCTTTGGACTAAGGTGGACACAAGGTGTAGGTGTGCGGTTCGGATGACGCTCGTTTCTCTACCTCCTACCGTGAACACCCCTCTCCTGCAGTCCAGAGTGCAACCTGCGTGCTTTTACAGCAAAATGGCGACAGTCTAATAGAGGGAGAGAAGACGGTGTCAGGCGCAGTGACAAACTTGAAGACATGAGCGCTCGTCCTGAGGTAGGTGTTACAGATGCGCGCAGGGATACGTCGTAGCAGGTGCGGTCATTAGTCGGTGATGTGTCACTTATGTCGTAGGTCGCTGTGAAGGCAAAACACCGCAGTGAGTGATAACAGGCGGCAGCTTTGTAGTCTTACCTTAACTTAAGTTGCTTCACTATTGCGACACTCACTCTTTGTCCAAGATATCGCTGCTGGAGTTTCTCCGTCTGTGGGAAGAGCAGCAAGCTCGCTGTCGCATAGCCAGTCAAAGTAAAGTCACGGCTCTTAGCTAGGGAGCTTTTTGCTGAAAAGAACAAGACATATCAAACTGAGTGATGCAGGACACTAAGAAAGTTTTAAGCTGCCAGAATTGCCAGGGGCTAAAATAGAATTTAATTCAAAGAGCATGCAGGGTTTAGACCCTAAGTTGGGCTTTTAGTGGCTGAGCTGGCAATACAGTGGAAAAACACTACTGGAGAAGCATTCGTTAAGGGAATAGATGCATGAGTGAGGTTGCATTTGACCTTGAGTCATAGCAGTGGCTATGAACTAAATGCATGTAGTGTACTGGGAACGATACAGCATCCTGTAGCAGAAGCCTGTACTAGCTGTCACTGGGTGAGAGGTGAGGAAGTTCTGTTAATCAGTTAACCCACAACACCCAGTCAAGATGAGCATACAGTAAGAAAACTCTTTCCTGAAAAGCAACAATGAACTTATCAAGAGGGCGCCTCATGTGGCGTTTGGAGAAACATTGCTTTATTATAATTTTGTTTAGTTATGAGCTCAGGTTTATATTTATAATGAGTGTTTCCTGTGATTTTAGGGTTTTACAATTTTTTGCTGTGAGTGTGCATCACATTCCTGTTATCACCTTTATGCTGGAGGTTTAGTCAAATCAAAGTGTAGACCTACATAAGTGAGTCCATCACTCCCTGCAGGTGTCTAAGGAGGAGCTTAAACAGCTATAGAAAGAAGGCAGCTGCAGCTTAACAGCCTAGTGTTGGTTTTACCGCATTAGTATACCGCAGAGAGTAAAGGAGTCAACTGCTCGACTAAATAAATCAGATGGTTGAGGCATGTTATCCACGAATTGATTATATGTCACTTGACAAGGTCAAATATTTTAACCAAGATGCCTGAAGTCCCTGAATGCACAGCATAGCAAACAGTTACGTGTTCTCTGTTGGCCTGGCTGGCTGCTTACACAGCTATAAATGAAGACACGTGGGACTTCTTAAATGGGAGTACACTGGCCTGAATTAGCAACTCAGCTGAGGAACAGCTGCAGAGATGAGATATTTTAGTAATCAGATGCTCCGACCAAGAATTTGCAGGAATATATCAGACGGGAGGTTTTCATAGAACCACATTGACTGGACCACTGTAGTGTTTCTCTTGGTGGTGAACATTTCAAGCCCAGTTCAGTTTCCACTGGGCCTGAAACCAGATATTGTTTCATTATTCTAAACCACATAAAATGGTGAAAATGTCCAACCCAGTTTTTCAGAGTCCAAGATGACGTCAGTGAGGGCTTGTTTTAGCCACTCAGCAGTGCAAATGCTCAACTACTGCATAAAACAGTGAAAAGCAGGAAATCATTACATTTAAAGCTTGAGACAAAATATTTTTTTTTTTAGCATTTTTGTCCAATATTTTATGTAATGTGGTGCAAAACATTTTGTTAAACTAGTAACTGCTTAACTGACTAAAGACATTTTAGCTCCAGTTGACATATTTCTTAAATTTTAATCCTCTTTGACAAAGCTTTTCCTGATTTTTGGTAAATGGTGAAAGGACTGATTCTTATATAGCACTTTTCTACTCTCCCAGAGTACTCAAAGCACTCTATACAACATGCCTCATTCACCCATTCATACAAGCACTTCTAAACACAAGTGCAAAGTAATCTACATTCACACGCATTCACACTCCGATGAAAGGCAGCTTGGGGTTAGTATCTTGCCCAAGGATATTTGACATGTAGACTGGGGAAGCCAAGGATCAAACCACCGACCTTCCAATCAGTAGCTGATCTGCTCTACCATTTTTGTGTTCAATTTAAAAATAATGAGGGAATGCGTGGATATCGCCTGTTCCTGATAACTGTGGTGATGCTTAAGTGTGATTTCTACCCGCAAGGAAGTCTAGCGAATTATACCAAAGCTATACAGCCATGCCTTGACAATATATCGGGGTTGTGACTAATTATTTTCATCACTGATTAGTGTAAAAATTATGTTTTTTTTTTCTTGCCTACAAATTTTCCGAAACCAGTAAATAATGAACTTGATTTGTGCTTGATATTGTAAATATTGCTCTATCATTTTCTGTTGGGGCCCCAGAGAGTCAAAACCCTCTTTAACAGGTTAAAACAAATACTTGATTTTTTACTTACTATTGATGTATTACCTCGATAGTCATGCCTTGTCACATTTTTATAATGAGGATTACGAATCTGATTTTAAACTGATGCTCTGTTTTGAGAGTCACATAAAATGACACGTGATCTGTTTGTCAACAAGAAAATCAGCTCTAAAATATGCTGACAATACTTTTTAGCTTCAGAAAATAATAATTAGCTTCTTTAATATATTTCATAAAACAAGTTTCATAGACTATTTTTTATAGTCTAAAAGGGCGGACAACCCTAATATGGAACATGGGTAGGGCTTTAGCCAAACAGAAGCTCCACCCACCTGCTTTTTAAATCTTTTTGTTTGGGAGAGAGAGCCAATCAGAAAAAGGTGGTTCAATGAGAGGAAGCTGAAACAGCTTGTTTCTCACAATCTGCAGGATTATTTCAAACAAAAAGGCTCCTGTGATATTCATCAAATATGCAATGTCAGTTTATGACAAAGTGAGGTGATCAGACCACTTCACTCAGTTAAATTGCAAAAATAAATTTTTACGCTTGCGTTCTCATTACTCTCCCAGTGATTTGATTTTAATATAAATAAATAAGTTAGCTAACCTGGTCTTATTGGTGGATCCCAGGTTAAGAAAAGTGCTGCTTGTACAGTGTGTGTTAGCAGAAAGAGATGGAATTAGATGATATTTCATTCTGCGTGGTCATTTTTTTTCCTTACATCTGTGTGGATTGCATTTACTGATGACCGAGTGTGGTCAAGTTGGCCCAGTGACATTTGCAGCCTTAATCATTTTTGGTTGCTTGGCTATTGCATTTTTCCAGTAATACTCGATCATAGCAAGTAAAACAGGCAAAAGAGCTGAAACACCAAAGGCAAAAAAATTCTTACAGAAATAAAGTTGGTTAACTTGAAAATTATTATTGCTTAAGTTCGCACAAACAGTGAAGATTTTAACAGCTCCAAAACAATAAGAAAGCTGCTGAGAATGGAGACATATCCCCTCCGGCAGTGTGTGTCAGATGGACTCACAAAATCTTACCAAGGCTTCTCCCCTCATGTGATCCGTTTAGTGTGCAGCTTGTCAGCATAATAATTCTAAAGATTCTGAACATTTACCTGCTTTTGGCTCTGTTAGAGGTGTTTTATGAGAACAGTGTGGAGTAATTATTGCTTCAACATACACTGATAAGTTAGGGCGTTCTGATTTGTTCTTTTGTTTTATTTACTGCATGATTATCCATATCAAGCTTTTTTCCATATGACAAAAGACAGGAGCATTAATAGGATATTGTCTCTCTTTAGAAGTCATAATGATCCATTCATGGTTTAGTATTCAGACAAGAATCACAACAAGGTGACATGCAGTGAAGCATACATGTCCATAATTCGTTTCAAAGAGCCGCTGAACTGAAATAAATGTATTTGAGCAGTAAAGGCGAGCTTAAAATGTGTGTTGATTGTGTTTTAATTGTAAAGCAACAAAGTGTGTGTGTGTCTAACTTTCTTCTGCTATCATTATTCTAATCATAATCTCAGAGCATAAACCTAAAATGTGACCCTCTCTGAGAAGGTGTTATCATGCAGAGGCACAGTCGCATGTCTCCTTACCAGCTTAACACCTGAAACTGTAGCTCAGATGTGTGAAATGCTCTGAAACTATAGCTGGGTGTGATTACCAGTCAAATTAAATCTGAGATGTCAGTTACATGTGTCAGTGCTTCCACTCCTACTCTTGGCAGGTTGCGGGGAGTGACAAGCTGGCTGTTGATTATTTTCCAGTGTGAAACAGAATCACTGACACACAGTTAGTGTTTACAATCCCCGAGTCTTTGTTTAATTTCCTTAAAATATAAGTGACTTTTGTGATTTCTGATGTTGGAATTGCCATGACACTGGCATCGTACCGTCAGTAAATACTCAGCTGACTGCTGGATGCTATGTGCTTCTTCTCTGTTTGTATTAGCGAAATGTCAGTAAACGGACTAGTAAAATCGAATGAAGCACAGATGTTGCAGAAGCTGTTTGTCTAGAAGTTTTGTCAGCATTCTGGTTTAAAAAGCAACAATTTTGTAACATTACTATTTTTTGACCCAACAGATTAATGAAAAAATATGGCATGGTTTCATTACACCAGGTTTCACCAGCTTTCATACACAATGTCAGTAATCATTTGGCAGCCTATCCTAATGTAATAAGTCAAACTCCCTGCAACATTTTAGCTGTCTTTAACAACATATAGTGATGTGAAATGGCATGCAGTTTATAACAATATGAAATGGGTTGGATGGCATCATAGCTTTAACAATGCCATGTTAAGGTTCCACCTCTTTACATTACCTTTTTACCTTTTGTTATTGGCTCCATCTCTGAAAGTACCCCCGGTTTACGAACCTTATTTTTAATATGAGAAAAGATTGGGTTTCAACCACTTAACGGCAACCGAGAGTAGGATTTGTAACAAATCGATTTTATTTTTTCTGTGGTTTTGCATTTGTTTCTGCAATTTAAACTCTTGTTTTTTGTTTGTCTTTGTCCTGCTTCATTCACTGCTGCCACTTCTGCTGCAAACAGTATGAAGATAATGTGAGAGCTTTTCATTTCCTTGATTTGTGACGGCAGCTCTACTGTGAAGGATTCTTAGAAATG